CCAGCTCTTTGCGAGGCTTATGTAAGTTTAAAAAATCATTAAGATCTTATATTCCTCGGGGCAAATATGACTTTAGAAAACAACATAACAGAACGGATCCAAGATGGCCAATCGCTAACATCCCGGGATTGCAGCTCTCAGGGAAGGCGCAGAGAACTAGAGGACGCCACACTTTCAGACAAATTCTGGTCGCTCACGGAGCAGAAGATCCCCCAGTGGAGGAAACACACGGGTGGCCAGCGTGACTCTCGTGGCCAGTGCAGCGGTTCCGCCGGCACCTAGGCGCGGCAGCTCTTGGAGCAGAGTAAACAGGTTTGGAGGACCCACATGGGTCCCCAGCACAACACCAGAGCCCGGCGCAGCAGCTGTGATGACACCTCGGCGTGGCAGCGCTCGGAGCAGAGTAAACGGGACTGGTTTGCCTTCTGACTGAGGTTTGGAGCCCCGGGAAGGCAGAGTCGCCTACTACGGACACAAGAAGGAAGCCAGACAGGAGAATCCTGGGCAGAAAAGCACCATCAGTTATAACGCCGCTGCTCTGGCCCTGGGAACTAACAACCTGGATGCCCACTCAAGAGACCTAATCTGAAAGTTGGTAAATTCAAAGACGGCAGGAGGATAAATTTACAATGATGGGAAGAAACCAGTGTAAAAAAGCTGAGAATACTCAAAGTCAGAACGCCTCTCCCTCTAAAGATGATCACAGTTCCACATCAACAATGGAACAAGGCTTGATGGAGAACGAGCACATCCTGATGACAGAATCACTCTTCAAGGAATGGATAATAAGAAACTTCTGTGAGTTAAAAGAACACGTTGTAGCCCAATGTAAAGAAACTAGGAACTTTGAAAGAAGGTTTGATGAAATCCTATTGAGAATAGACAACTTAGAGAGGATTATAAGTGAATTAATGGAACTGAAGAATACAATACAGGAACTCCGAGAAGTATGCAAAGGTTTAAACACTCGAATTGTTCAAGCAGAAGAAAGGATATCAGAGGTCAAAGTCCAACTTAATGAAATAAAACGTGAAGAAAAGATTAGAGAAAAAAGGATAAAAAGGAATGAGCAAAGTCTCCAAGAAATGTGGGACTATGTGAAAAGACCAAATTTACGTTTGATAGGTGTACCTGAATGTGACAGAGAGAATGAATCCAAGCTGGAAAATACCCTTCAGGATATTATTCAGGAAAATTTTCCTAAACTAGCAAAGCAGGTCAACATTCAACCCCAGGTAATACAGAGACCACCACAAAGATATTCCTCAAGAAGAGCAACCCCAAGGCACATAATCGTTAGATTCACCAGGGTTGAAACGAAGGAGAAAATACTAAGGGCAGCCAGAGAGAAAGGTCATGTTACCCACAAAGGCAAGCCTATCAGACTTACAGCAGATCTCTCAGCAGAAACTCTACAAGCCAGAAGAGAGTGGGGGCCAATATTCAACATCCTCAAAGAACAGAGCCTTCAGCCCAGAATTTCATATCCAGCCAAACTAAGCTTCACAACTGAAGGAAAAATAAAATCTTTTATGAACAAGCAAGAACTCAGAGATTTTATTACTACCAGGCCTGCTTTACAAGAGCTTCTGAAAGAAGCATTACACACAGAAAGAAACAACCAGTATTAGCCTTTCTAAAAATACACCAAAAAGTAAAGAGCACCAACATAAAGAAGAATTTACACCAACGAATGGATAAAACAGCCAGTCAACATCAAATGGCAGTAACCCTAAATTTAAATCGACTAAATTCCCCAATCAAAAGACACAGCCAAAACCCAACGGCAGGTTACATCCAGACCTGTTTCACATGCAAGGATACACAAAGACTCAAAACAAAGGGATGGAGAAAGATTTACCAACCAAATGGAGAGCAAAAGTAAATAATAAATAAATAAAAAGCAGGAATTGCAATTCTTGTATCGAATAAAATAGATTTTAAAGCAACAAAGATATAGTGGTAAAAGGATCAATGCAACAACAAGAGCTAACGATCCTAACACCCAGATACATAGAGACTTAGATTCAATGAGACAGAAAATTAATAAGGATATCAAGGACTCGAACTCAGATCCGGAACAAGTAAACTTAATAAATATTTATAGAGCTCTCCACTTCAAATACACAAAATATACATTCTTGTTAATACCACATCACACCTACCCATAGGTTTAAATGAAACATTGATTGGCCATTATTAATACCCAATTTTTTCAGAATAAAGCAATATTTCCATTTACTCTCCCTCTTTCTCTTCCTCTTTCTTCCTCTCCTTTACTTATTTTTTATTTTTTTTTCTTTCCTTCTCTCAAAAAAAAGAAATCAACGTGTAAACCTCTAGATCCAGGTTGGCAATGTCTCTCTCATTGCTTGAATTCCTTCCTTCCCTTCCCTCCCTCCCTCTCTCCTTCCCTCCCACCCCCTTCCTCCCTTCCTTCCTTCCTTCATCCCTGCCTTCCTCCCTACTGTCCTCCTTCCCTCCCTTCCTGCCTTCCTCCCCCCCCAAAAAAAGAAAACAACATAACTTGATTTATGCCTTTTATTCCCTATTGACAAATTTTTTCTTCAAAAAATTAAGCAGTATTTCCTTTTTTATTCAACCATTTGCCTTTATATTAAAGCCACAAATTATAAAAACAAAAATGTTTAGTGTCACTAAAATATGCAAATCAAATGACTGTGAAATAAAATGTCACAATATTAAGTTTAAAAAAAGTAAAATGAAAAACCCTAATGCTTGTTCATTTTAAATTTCTCACACAGCTTGGTGTACCATAAATTGTAACATGTTTTTGAAAAGGAGCTTTCCTTGTATAACAAGAAGAATAAAACTTATTGTATCCTTCCATTAGTAATTTGACTTTCGGTAACATTTACAAGTGAACTTTTTTGCTTCCTTTACATTCCTGCCTTCTGATAAAAATCTCATAGGACCCTGGGGAATACAGCCCTTCCCGCCTCAACCCTGCTCAGACAGAGAACCCGAGCAAGACCTAAGCCAACCCATGTATCCTATTTCTCTGGTCACAGGGAGGGGGAATGAGGGGAGAGAAAGAGGTATAGGGGAGGGAAGAAGGCTGTAGAGAGAGAGAGAGAGAGAACCCCTTAAAATATGGGAGCAAAACACCAAAGAAGGAGTTCTCTTAGGAAAAAAAAAATCATATGTATTTGTGACTCATATTAAAACTGTCTTAGTTCATTTAGTGGTGCTATAAAGAAATGCCTGAGAATGGGTAATTTATAAGGAAAACAGGCATATTTGGCTCATAATTCTGCTGGCTGAAAGACTGGGCATCTGGTGAAAGCTGTTTCCACTCATGGCAGAAATGAAGGGGAGCCCATGTGTGCACAGGTCACATGGCAAGAGAGGAGGCAAGAGAGGGAGGGGCGATGCCAAGCTCTTGTTTGTTTTGTGAGACAGGGTCTTGCTCTGTCACCCAGGCTAGAGTGCAAAGGCACAACCATGGCTCATTGCAGCCTCAACCTCCTGGGCTCAAATGTTCTTCTCACCTCAGCCTCCCATTTAGCTAGGACCATGGGCATGTGCCACAATGCCCAGCTAGTTTTTTGATTTTTTGTAGAGATGGGGTCTCACTATATTGCTCAGGCTGATCTCAAATACTTGCTTCAAGCAATCTTCCCACCTTGGCCTCCCAAAGTGCTGGAATTACCGGGTTGAGCCTCCATTCCCAGCTGCCAAGCACAATTGGCTTTCCTGGGAACTAATGAAGAACTTACTTGTCCACCATACTCCTCCACCCTCCTTCCCTACCCAAGGGAAGGCATTAGTCTATTCATAAGGGATCTGCTCCCATTACCCAAATGCCTCCTATTTTCCAACTTTGGGGATCAAATATCAACATGAGATTTGGGGGACAAACATCTAAACAATAGCATCGTATATGTTTGTAACTCATATTAAAATTCCTCCTTTTCAGGAGAGAGGAAGGGAAAAGCCCTAAGCCATGGCGTTTATTAATAAGGGAGGTTCCACTGGATTCTGTGCTACAGACAAATCCATGGTAAAGTTTTCAGGCTACATTCTGGGAGAGAAATTGATGGAATGAATTATATGCATAAGAAGGGACCAATAAAGCATATCAAATTCATAAAAATCAGTTGAAAGCACTGAGTGCGTTTATTCTAAAAAAGAGATGCAAGAGGAGGTAGGAGAAAGATATGATAAATATCTTCTGAGATTTCAAGGGCAATTTCACAAAGCAGAAATGGCCTTATTTATGTTGTTTCCAAGGACAAGTGGCAATATTTTCTTTTCTGCCCTAATAGCCTTATTTGAATCCTGCCTTCCACCAATCGCCAAGGCCATCTCGAGGTCCTCAGTGTCTGACATGGCGCCTGGCATACTAATACCAGCTTGATCTAAGGAAAAGGAAGTGGCTTGTGGCATCTGGCAGGCCTGCATTTGAACTTCAGCTTTGTTAAGAAGTACATAACCTTAGGGAACTTTCTTTAACCTTTTCTGCACACCTTCTTTATGAAATGGAGATAATTTCTCATTTCTGGAATGGTTGACTCTCAAAAGGTGTTAGATACAAGCCAGAACTGAAGAGGATTATGGCTATTTGAATGCTTCTGGAATTACCAAGCCTCCTATCTCTAAAAAATCCAGGCAGAGACTAACTAGTTGCTTGGCAGAAGTCATGTTTTCCCCTTTGTTTATAATTTTTCCCATGTCTGTACTTAAAAATACAGGTAATATTCATTCTAATGCTAATTCACTTGTTAAACACAAGATGGCAGTCAAGGTTTAATTTTGGGGAATAAAAAAGCTAGCACTCCTTAAAAATGCATTAAATATATAATTATGTAAACAGATAAAAACAATGATTAATTCAATAACCCTGAAAGGAAAGCACAAACATCTATTAAAAGAATCTACAATGTTTTCCATATAAAGGGGATCCAACATAGGTATACCAAAAGAAAAATTACTTATCTTTTGTGAGTTAAAACATGCTCACAAAATCAGACACCAAAGAAATGTAGAAAAAATATGTATCAGCCCCTTAATTTAAAAGACAGGACAACTAAGTCCAGAGTATAATTTACAAATATAAAAAAGATTTTTATTGGTATTTGATATTGCACAGATGTTTTTTTATATAGAAGAAAAAACTGATGTTGTTTAATAATAAAAAAAAAACACAACTTCTTCACAAAAGGTAGATTTGATTGTGCTTGCACTTGGGTAGGCAATATTTTTACAATTCCCTGAACAATTTAAGCTTTTAATAAGTGCATATTAGTAGGCAAGTAAGAAATTGTTTAGTTTTAATTTGCAAATAAAATTTGTATTTATCAATAACCTCAGGAAAACTTGCTAATCTGTTTGTGCCTCCATTTCTCTCATTGGTAAATTAGAGATAATATCTATCTGCACCTTTAAAGAATTTCTGGGGCATTGGGGGATGGGGGATGGGTCTTAGGGGCGGTCATCCATTGAAAAGGAGGTTAGGAATCTGGTCTTGAGGCTGCCAACAAGGCAAGCAAAGTGGTCTGACTTGGAGTACAGGTTGATTTGTTGTGGCTCTGACGGAAGCTGATGGGTATTATTGTGGGCTACACTTACACGTGTGACTATCAACTCCACAGGATGGCCAGTATGACATGAGGCAATGAAGGGAGAATGCCTAGCATACAGAAAGCACTTAGCCATGTTAGTTCCTGTTCCTTCTATACCTCTTTAGTATAAACAAGAAGCAGTATTCTTTTCTAAAGCTACAGTGAATGTAAACCACCACAACAATTGATAAGTTTTATTTAGACAACTTGCTAGCTGCCAAAGCTTAGATACTGATAAAGACTTTTCCGTTGTCGCAGAAGCAATCATTAGCTAGGGTATGGCAGTAAATGTACTTTTAAATGTGTATAAGCAAGAAGACTCAAAAGAACAGCTTTCATTGCTTTCTGATTTTATATCTTTTACTATTTCTCTGGAGAACTTAAATACAAAATACTGATTATAGATTCATCCCCTTTAGTGGAAATAAAGAATATTCATGAATAGCCAAAGACACTCAAGGCAATAGGAAAGAAAAAAGTCCTTAGAAAGGAAAACCAAACCAAATGATTGGTTAGTGAATATTTATGAGCTGCTTATAATGACAATAGGTTTCTATTAATAGTAACAAGACTTTAAAAATTGGAGGTTTTGCATAAAATATTCATGATGGCCATTTATATTTCCAGTTTTCAATCACTGTTTTTGACTACACTGTAGAACTTTCAAAATACAACCCTAAATCTTTACATTAGAATGAACCTTAAAAGTCTGCAACTTAATTTTATTTTTCCTATAATTAACTGCCTTCACATTTAATCCTACTCCTAGTTGAAAAACCAGAGTGAGTACAGATCTTTCAACTAACATTATTTGAGTGCCTACTACTTGGCAGGCCCAGGCACCATGCTAAGCACAGAGAATGCAAAGGAACACTAACATCCTTGCCCTGGTTTCTCTTCATGAACAGATGAATTTCCACATAGCACATGGTGAAAGACATGGGAACAGAGAATATGAGAGAGGATGGCGAAACTGGGAATGCCTGAGTTTGCTAGAAACGGTCTCCACAAAAAGACATTTGGGCCAGATCTTCACCATCCTTGTAAAGCATTTCACCAGGCAGAAGAAATGATGGAGGCGCAGTGGAGAAGGAAGAACCAGAGGCATATAGGAACTACAATAAATGTAGCTAAGTGGTGTTTTCTAACCTGAGAAAAGACAAATTTTACATGTTTCCAACAGATTGTTTTTATTCTCTGAAAAGTTGGGTGGCATGAACTTCCATCTCCTCTTCTCCCCAGGAACTATAATTTATTGAATGCCTATGTGTGGTGCTATATTATTTTATATATATGATTTCATTCAAGAGATCAAATGCAAAACAACTTTGCAAGGTAGGTAAGGCTACCTCCATTTAACAGATAAGGAAACAAGTTCAGAATAGGTAAGAATTTCTCCAAGATCTGTCTGACTCTGAAGCTCATACTCTTCCCTCCATACTGCTTCCAAAGAGAGATTTTTTTTGACCTGCAAATTGAATGAGGGCCACAGTTAAGTTTTAAAAGCATGAATAATAGCAAACTTTATGAGTGCTTACCATGCACCAGATACCGCTTGAAGCATTTTGCATATATTAATTTATTTAAGCCTCACACTTCCCTGGGAGGTGGGTACACTTATTACTGCCACTTAACAGATAAATCTGAGGTCCAAAAAGTCAGTGACCTTCCTCAAGGTCACAGAGCTGGTAAATGGCAGAGCCAAAATTCAAATCCAGACAGTCTGGCTCCAGTGCTCCGCATTTAAGAGCTCCATATTCCATCTTTTAACTAGCCAAATCCTAACTCTAGACCAACAGCAAAGACCTTGCTGATCCCAGGCAGAAGGTACAAAGTGGTAAAGAGGTCTTAGGACTCCAAATAATAGTGAGAAAAAAAATTCAGTGTGGCTTAAGAATAGGGTATTGATTGATGAGAGGAGGGAAGGGAGTAGCAGGAAAAACAGGTTTCTCTTTTTCTTCAATGCTATGCAAACAAAGGGTTCTCAATTTACATTTCCTGTTTTTTTTTTTTGAAACAGGAAATTTCACCATAAGAAAAGCATTTTCGAATATTAAAAACTGAGAGATGCATAATATGGTATGCACAACATAGACCAATTACTCATGTGCATAGATCGCCAAACATTTTCTACTTGAGTCTCTATGAATTGATAAAACACCCCACGTATTTTGATGAAACAAGATTTTTGATAATTATTTGAAAAGAAGTTGAATTTTGCCATTCTATTTAGATTTTTTAGATTTTACTATACCTCTAACATTTGCTTAGTCAATATTTATGCCACAATAAAATGCAGATAAATGTATCTTTTTAAAACTGTATTTAAATAGTGGGGTTTTTGACTAATCAGCACCAGTGTTTCAAAGCAGCAAATATCATTTGATCTAAATATATTCTCATCAACCACCAGATGGCATAAGGTGTGAGGGTTTTATTTTGACAGGGTCACTATGCACATGATAATTTGACCTGTAACTTTGAAATATTGTATTTGGAAAAATGTTCCAGCACTCAAACAACTCACAATTATTTTAGCCATATGTAGAAGTAGATGGATAAATTGAAAGTGACATGGTTCTACTTTTTCTAAATGTTGGGGTTCTGTGGGATGTTGGCATTACATAATGAATCGATGATCAAACAAATAAAACAGTTCTGTTAAAGGAAATAAAAAAGGAAGTCACGTCAAAGCAAAGTTAACCTTATATTCTAAGTAGGTTTCTTCAACTCCAAAAGAACTTAAAACATGCCTTCAAGAAAAAAAAGTGCTTATACTCCTTAAAGTTTTGCTTGATAAAAACTTTTTACTCTCTGTAGTTTATCCTGAAAGCGGAAAAGTCTATCAAATGCCAAAGCTTTTCTCTACTTTAGCTTGAAAGAAAGTTGTTACGGAATTAACAGAAGAAAGAAAATCCAACTGAAAAACTCAGTCTGAAGTACATGATATTAAATGATAGAAAAGTATATTTTAATATACTCAATTAAAAAAAAATGTACTCAATCCTGGCTAGGCACAGTGGCTCACGCCTGTAATCCCAGCACTTTGGGAGGCCGAGGTGGGCAGATCATGAGTTCAGGAGATGGAGACCATCCTGGCTAACACGGTGAAACCCTGTCTCTACTAAAAATACAAAAAATTAGCCAGGCATTGTGGCATGCACCTGTAGTCCCAGCTACTCAGGAGGATGAGGCAGGAGAATCACTTGAACCCAGGAGGCGGAGGTTGTAGTGAGCCGAGATCGCACCAATGCATTGCAGTCTGGGCAACAGAGTGAGATTCTGTCTCAAAAAACAAAATAAAACAAATACACACACACACACACACACTCAATTCCTCAATTGCTACACAAATTCAAAATGCAGCACGTTATCTCTATTAGTCATGTCTTTCCATTTAGAAAAGAGGGCACATTGTTAACAGTAAATTGAAGAGCTAGAAATTGAGATAAATGAGAGAAATGCAAAAAATAGGATCCTTAATTCTGCAACCTTTATGGTAGCACATTCACTGAGTACCTTGGAATCAGCACACCAGAATAAAAGACCAGCACCACACAGCTAATACCACAGAACTGAAATGGCATCTTTGCTCTAACAAGATGAAGCAGAAAAACTGCCTTCAGGTGTCAAGAGACCAAAGATGAGATTAAGGTTCCTTCCTTAATGTGGTCTAAGAGGCAATGATGTATAAAGATACAATAATTTATGTTTGTATTTTGCTATATCCTTCCTCATTACATTTAGTATATTTGGTTCTTGAATGAGAAATCTGCAGGAGAAGAGACAATGTTTGGAGCTACAGAAAGGAGGAAAAGCTAACTGATGATATGTAATTTTTTGCTTTTTTAAAAAAGCCATTACTAAGTCACATGTTGATAAGGTTGATGGAAATGAGAGTAAGGGAAATAATGGGGAGGATATTACAAGATTTCTCCACTGTGGATGGTGTCCTATCTCCATCTTTGGCAGCCAATATGTAGCAAAGATATTTCCTACCTGGGTTCATAGGAAAGCAAGAAATGATTCTTTCCCTTATTCTTGTTCTTATACTTAGAAAAGGGAGTAAGTTGTTATTTTCAAGGGTTCCTTCTGTAATTTCCAGGTTGGACAGTAGAAAGTGGAATAACAGACAATTCAAGTTAAGGTACGCATTCAAGACACTTAATATTTCTTACTTTAAATTCCATTCTTTATGATGCTGTAGATCCATTTTCTTCCATTTGTAATACCGTCCAATGAATTTTGGATCTTTGAGCACTGAAATTAGAATATTAAAGAAAGAAGCTATGTATACATTCTTTAATAATAGTTAAAAGTTAAAAATCATTCACTTCTTGGTAAGTTGATATGTGGCAATAGCACACACTATATAATTCAAGTCATATTTCAATGCTCAGAAACTTTCCAAATTACTTGCTTTTATTGGAACATTGTAATGTTAGATATTGTTTGAAATAGGTAGATTGTAACTTGGAAGTTTTTTTCATTATAATGAAAAACATTATATATCCTTTACAGTGTTAAATAATATTTATAGGAGACCATTGTTTTAGACTGAGCATGTACCCTAGGCATTAACAGACCAAACCAAAATGGAGTCACTTGTTCTGTCACGCAGTAAAACTGAAACTTTAAGGAAGCAGGAAAATCTTACAAACAGACGAGTGTTTTCAAAAGAAGAGATTCACAGCCACCAGTCAGAAGGGGCCCAGTCAACTTCAAGTGGCATGATAAGGAAGTCCCCTGTGCTTTAACCCTTAAAAGGAAGTAATTAAAGTGCCTTATGTTAACCAATCCATTTTTTGTATTATTCTGTCTTCTTATTCCTGCTCTAGCTACCTTATGAGAACTAACTGTTCTGCTGTGCTCCAGAGAGCACTTAACTATTTTTAAGATGAGATGTTGCCTGATTCATGAATTACTAATGCAAGCCAATTAGCTCGTTAAATTTATTGAAATATAGCCCAGCCAACAACGTGAAACCCCATCTCTATGAAAAATACAAAAATTAGCCAGGCGTGGTGGCACACGCCTGTAATACCAGCTACTCAGGTGGCTGAGGCACAAGAGTTATTTGAACCCAGGAGTCGGAGGTAGCAGTGAGCTGAGATCACACCACTACACTCCAGCCTGGGTGACAGAGTGAGACTCTCTCTTAAAAATAAATAAAAATTTAAAAAGAGGAATTTTGCTTTTAGCAACAATAATGAAGAGAGTATTAAAATAACTCATATAAAACCCAGATATCACAGTTTAACAAAATTCTAATTCAAATTGAAATTTTGAAGTTGGATATGACATTAAAGACCTTGCTTGATCTTTCACAGAGCAAGAATCTCCAACGGATGATCATCCAGGCTCTGAACAAATTACTTGTCAACTACAGAAAATGCACCACTTTGTAGCTGGGAGACTGCCCACTCCATTGGCAGGTAAGGGTTACAGTGTCCTTCCTGCATCTGACTGCAGTGACTTTCCAATGGTCTTGGTTCTAACCTCTGGAGTGACACTAAGTTCATCCTCTGCCACAGGAGACAGCCCTCTAATAGCTCACAGGGAAGCCTCAGTTCTTTCAACTATTTCTTAGGATATGATTTTCTAGAAACGTAACCATCTGTAATTTCCTGCTGATAAATTCGTTGATGTTCCTATTAAACTTTGTGTCCAGAACTGGATCAACTGGTTTGAAGCAAAGATGCAAATGGGCTTACCACCTCCCTTGCTCTGTGCACTATCAATTCAACTCAGACCTGCATTAGTATTTTCTGAAATTCACATTATATCACCACTGGCTCATAAGTTTGTGGTTAATTACAAGCTACACCTTCAATCAACTTCATATAAGATTTATTAAAAACCTACTATGTTTAAGGCACTGGTAATTTTTACATGAAATATTATTAAGCCAGATCATATGCCCATATATACTTCATCTATTTTCCTATTTCTTATTATTGTTCTGAGCTTAGCTTACAGTCTTGAACTATTTAGCCAGCTAGATGCTCTCCACCAGTCTTGGCTTTGTCTGGGGCCGCCTTCTTCTTCTCTTCCTCTTTCTCTTCCTTCTTCCTTCTTCCTCTTCCTCCTCCTCCTCTTCCTCTTCTTCTTTTTTTTTTCTGAGATGGGGTCTCACTCTGTCACCCAGGCTGGAGTGCAGTGGCATGACCATAGCTCACTGCCACCTTGTGTTCCTGAGCTCAAGGGATCTTCCCACTCAAGACTCCCAAGTAGCTGGGACTATGGGCACATGCCACCATGCCTGGCTAATTTTAAAATTTTTTGAGAGATGGAGTCTCACCATTTTGTCCAGGCTGGTCTTAAACTCCTGGGCTCAGGCAATCTTCCTGCTTTGGCCTCCCAAAGCATTGGGATTACAGACACGAACCACCATGTCCAGCCTGGGGCTTTCTTCTTAATAATGATTAATTTACCCCTTTTAGCTTGATGACATTTGCCATTGATAGAAAAAAAAAACAACATTGTAACTGAATAGTTTCCTTTTTTACATGATTTTTCACGAGCAATGTTTTTGTCTATTCCTTAATTTATTTTCTTGCCTCAAACAGATGTAAGTATACATACATGCCTATTCTCATAGACTTTATTAGTACTTTTTATTGGTATTTGAATATATACTCCTCCCTTCCATTAAAGAAGTAAATCTTAGCTCCCCAGAGTTCTTGTGAGGTTTTATTATTTCCTTTAGATGATTATAATAATTATCATTAGCAGATTTTTTTTTTTAACAGTCTCACTCTTTCCCCCAGGCTGGAAGGCAGTGGTGCAATCTGGGCTTACTGCAACCTCCACCTCCCAGGTTCTCTCATGCCTCAGCCAGCGAGAGTAGCTGAAATTATAGGTGTGCGCCACCATGCCTGGCTAATTTTTCTATTTTCAGTAGAGATGAGGTTTCACCATGTTGGCCAGGCTGGTCTCAAATTCCTGGCCTCAAGTGATCCACCTGCCTTGGTCTCCCTAAGTGTTGGGAGTACAGGTGTGAGCTACTGCATCCAGCCAGAATTTTTGTTTGCTGGGCACAGGTAAAATAGATATGGTTACCATTAGAATACCCACTGTACAGGTGGGCAAACAGACATAGAGAGGTTGAGTAATATCTTCTCATTGGGACTGTTCATCACTCTTAGCCAAAATTTAAAATTTAATCTCTCACGAATGCTATTTCCTTTTGAAGTTTCTATTTAAGGATAATTCATATCTTTTCTTAAACTTTTTGAGATTGCCTTTCCTCATTTTATATTTGAATATATGTATGGCTGTCTCTTCCTTATATATTATGAAAATCAAAATGACAGTCATCTTTCCTGAATCGTCCCATTAGTTTTCTATCATTGACTCATTTTCTTCATTGCTTTCTCCATCATCTGAGAGATGAAAATGCCACAGTACTTTGTACAAACTTTTAACCTTCTCATATTTTATCCCTATGATTTTTTTCACCCATCTGTCTCCTACCAATTGCCTGTAAACTCCCTGAAGAGCTTAACACAATACATGTCTTCTTGTCTCCCACGCATAGCCAATTGTCTAAATATAGAAGGTGCTCAAGGAATGACACTGAACGGAGAGAAACAACAAAAGAATGAGGACAGGAGATGGAGAGAAGAAAGGAACCATGTAACTTTAGCAGAAGTTCTTCAAGTTGAAATTCCTTCATCACTGTGATATCTTGCACGTGTGGCAGTTTTGTTGCAAGCTGGTAGGAAAGCATCCTCTATTGCCTCCACAGTAGAGTTCTTCTTCCTTTTCTATTGTGCCTTCTGCAGATTCCAGGGCATTGCTTCTACTCTGCTTTTTTTTTTTTTTCTGTGATACTCCTCTTGTCCAACATCTGTAGAGGTTGCCCTGAATTTTTTTTCCACTACCAGAATGGTCACATCCCAAAAAGAATAATAGCACCGACTTGCCTCAGCATGTTCTATTTTCACACATGCTCTCTCATGCTAACCACAGAGCAACATAAAGTAGGATGGAATATTTTTGTCAATCAATAGAAATGAAAACCAAAGTACAAAGAATTAAGTGACTACCTTAAATTCACTTACCTACATATGGCAAAACTCATAGAGGGCTAAGGAGTTTCTAACTTCTGACATCATGCTCTTCCCACTAGGGCCTGCCCAGCCTTGGTTGCACATTGTGGTCACCTGGGGAGCTTTAAAAACTACTACTGCCTGGTCCTACTCCCAGAGATCCTGATGTAATTGGTTTTGGGTGTGCCCTCTATATTGAAATTTTTACAAGCTCCTCAGGTGGTTCTAATGAGCAGTCAAGACTGAGAACCACTGCATTAGAGTCAGATGATACTGCTTCTTGCATCTAAATGTGTTTTGGAGACACTTGCCCTTATTGATGGCTTAAAGACTCAAAGCATAAAAGTCTCCTAGGGTGAAGCAAACATCCCCATCATGCTTCAGGCTGTTTGGTTTGTCTTGATGACAGCAAACAAACATCAGGAAGCCTAGGCTAAGTATTACAGAGTACACTGGTCTGGAGGAATTCTTTTCCTCTAACATAAACATTTCCGTATGGGGATCATATTCTGTCATTAAGGCACTGTTGCCCACAACCATATGTATTGGTTTGTTCTCTGCCAAATCTTTTACTTGCCATTTTTCATCATTGCCTATGCTTATGAACTAAGCATTTGTAGTTATTTACAAATATGCTACATGTACTTCCGAGTTTGAATTTAAATCTCATACATACAGAGATAACAATTTATGGGATTTATCAGATTCAAAGTTGATAAAATTCAACAATTTATGAGATTTATCAGATTACAATTTATCAGATTCAAAGTCTCCGATACTCTACAATATGGAGGCAGTAGTGTATCAGAGAAAGAGCAACAAATGTGGAGTCAGAAGATGTGGTTCAAGTCTCTGGACCACAGCCTACCGAATTAATAATATGCATACTTACTGAGAACTCACTACATGCTAGGCACTGTTTTAAGTGCTTCAACTCTATTAAGTCGGTGCTGTGATTATTCTCATTTTATGGATGAGAAAACTGGGACACAGAGAGGTTAAACACTTAACCAAAGCAACACAGCTAGTAAATGGCAGAGCCAGGATGAAACTCGGGTCAATCTGATCCCAGGATGTACATTGTTTACCAACATCTGATATTCTCCCTCACATGTATGACCTTAGGTAAATTACTTAGCTTTTCTGGTCTTATATTTCTCATCTTAAAACAAAGTAATAATAATAATATCTGGCACATAAGGTTGATATACCACCATGCAGGACATATATTAGGTGTCTAATAATACTGGTTGAATAAATGAATAAAAGAATGATAGACTGGGATGGCTAAAAATATATATGAGTATATTTCATAAACTGCATTACATAAGAATAAACTTACTATTATTATGATACCAATGACTATATATAGATTTGTGGCACAAGATAGGGAAAAGAGTTAATATCCAAAATCAAAATTTAACTACTTACCACTATTCATAAAAGATAAAGCTCTTAAAAATATGCTCAAGAGTTTAATAATCTTTCCAATGCTAAGAATGTAACTGTAGAAAATGAAGTTATTAGAAGTTTCTCTTTTATTTCTGAGTAGTTGAAGAAGCATTCTATAATCTAAAAGCTTCATATTTATTATTGCCAGGAAATTAGGCCATTAAAAAAGATAGTGTTGGATCTCATCCAGCTGGACTATCAAAAGATAAAATGGCCAGCAGCACATGTGAAGTTTACATTTAATTTTTTTAAATTAAGTGCTGGTTATTATTCAAGGAAAGCTCTTGAAGCATTCTTATAACAATTCCCTAGGGGAAGAAAAGGCAGGGTGGTTGTGAAATCATGCACCAAGTGCTAGACTCAAAGTCTCAGAAATTCTTTTGGGCTAGAGATAACGATGACCAGTTACTGCCTTTCCAAACAGGGATGAATTACATACGGTTAGTGACAGATGTAGAAACAACAAAATTAAACATTTCGGGGGCCAAACTCTTTTTGAGGAAGAAACTGTGGTCAGTGGTTGCCTTATTATTTCCTTCCATTTTCAATTATTCTTTATTGCAAGACAAGCATTCCCAAATCTCCTTAAGTTTTCGCACATGCTTCTATTTTTTTTCTTCCTCTAGCAGTTTGGTGTTTCTAAGTGGCCCTATATATTTACACGTTATTCTAGAAAGCACCATCCTGTAACGATCTATTTTTTGGTGGAAGAAGTTTGACTCTGAGTGGTTCCCTAGAGTGTGCCAATCAATGTCTCTCAACTGTAATTAAGGGTTATTGCCCCCGAAGCCTATATGAGCTTCTCAGTGCCTCACACACAGTAGGTACACACAGCAGATGTGTTTGCTGAATTGACTAAGCTGCATTAACAAATCTGTGACCTGAATTAACCATTAAAGAACTCTGGTATCAAAATAATTAATATTTTATACTGATAGAACTGCTAAAGATTATATATCTCAATGTACCTTTTAATTATTTTGACCTATGAGTGAGAATGGTAACATATAAGCACAAAATAATTGCAGCCGACCTCCTGAAAGAACATGTGATTTCTTAAAAGTTATTGATCTAGTTTACCTTTTAAGGATATTTATTAAGCTTAGTACCATTTTTTGCCCTCAGTTGTGCCTTGAAACTAGATACTATTTTTCATGAAAAGAAACTATCACAATGATGAGATGAAATATAATGAGACCTCAAATTAAGGCAATGGTTATGGGGGTGGAGTAGAGTGGAAGCATTCCTAATGTTGCAGGAGATAAAATCAATAAGACTTAATGAGGGAGATCAAGAGATGTAGGAAACTTCTAAGATTCTGGCTTAGGTAAGAAAATGTAAAAATGGTCATCTACCACTAACCAAGAGAGCAAATAAAGGAAGAAGGATAGATTGGGGCAAGATAATGAATTCACTTTGAGACATCTTGAATATGAGTCTCATATAGGTGAGATGTCCCCTTCACAGTTATAAATATAACTCCATGTAAAATTCGGAAGAGGGGTCTAGCTAGAAATGCAGCTTTAGGAATCAGTGGCATGTAGGCAGCCATGGTAGTGGAAGAGGTCTGTCAGAGAGAGTAAGCAGAGAGGACTGAATGAAGAAGATATTGCCAAGGGAAGAGGCAGTGCAATGCTTAGGCGGGGAGATGAAAAAGCATGGATGTATGGTGTCCTGTAAATCATATTATGTGAATATTCCACATAACAATACAATAATTGTATTGTTAAGAGCACAGCTAATGAGAGTGCAAGTAAGAAGAGGACTAAAATGCAATTGTTGCATCTGGGAATTCAGGAATCTCTGCTACTGCAGAATACACCATTTTCGAAGGACGGCTGAAGCAAAGTCATATTCCAGTAAGTTTTTGCAGACTGGATAACCTAATTTTCATCCAGATAATGAAATAGTACTCTAAAGATCCAATTAAATAGAGCCAGAAAGTTGTCCAACTTTCCCATTCTGTCTTTTTAGGTCCTAATGATGGTAACAGTTGATTTTTCCTTTTAGGTTGATATAATTGAATAGCCCTATGTTCTTATGTTTGCTCGCTAAATTTCTACCTAATATTTCCTGTGGCTTAGAAGAGAAATAAAAAGGTTCTCTCTGGTGTGAAGGCTTTTCTCTGTGGTAAAGGGAGTAAAGTAAACCTCATAAGATTGAGAGCTTTTCTGTTATTCCTCCAATTGACTATCTCTCCTTTAGCTTTTAATCAGACTTCAGTCCAGGGATCTATACAACTTTGATTCTTCTTTGAGAGGCTCAGGCAGGAGGATTGTTAGAGGTCAGGAGTTTCAAACTAGCCTGGACAACATAGTGAGATCCCCATCTCTAAAAAGTAAAAATAAAAAAATTAGCCCTGTATGGTAGATTTTGCCTATAATCCTAGCTACTCATGAGGCTGAAGCAGAAAGATTGCTTGAGTCCAGGAGTTTGAGGCTGCAGTTAGCTATGTTTGCACCACTGCACTCCAGCCTGAGTGACAGAGTGAGACCCTGTTTCTAAGACAAAAATTTAAAATTAAAAAAATAATTAATAGTTGTTGAATGAATAGTTTATAGCGCCCACAAAGAAGTTTATTACTCTTCCCTAGCAGATGTGTGCCAATTAGTCTTTGAAAGCAAGGTAAATGTTAACAGATTAACATATACCAAAAGGACATAGAATAAAAATAGTTCACCTTACATGGAGTTCTGTAGTGTTCTGTGGCTCTTGATGTAGCTATTCCAGACCATATCTGGTAGTAATCACTAAATAGGACTCCTTTAATTGATCTGAAAATATAAATAAAAATCAGACAATGGGTAGTTTGTAAATTTTCTCTTTAAAATTATTGTATTGTTATGTGGACTATTCACATAATATCTTGTCACAAGATATTAAACTGACTTGCAAATTATAACATGCATTTTTAACAAATGTATCCAACATAATGATTTCAGCAATAATGAATACAATTCACAAAAAAGAAAATGTCCAAATCATTTTTCAATAATATAAATATGGACCCATCTGTATATTATAAAAAGAAAAATACAGGTTTAAGACATCTGCCTTTCATGACTAACATTAAAAAATAACTTTAAGCAAAGCATTTACCTGTCAATTTGTCATTCTGTAATAAACAATAAACATCTTTCTTGAACTTCTATGCCAAATTCTAGTAAAAAAACCTTTATTTCTTATAATGAGGCCAGAATACAAGCATTATAATTGAGATTAGTTTAGTTTTTACAGAGAATCTGTCTCTTTTCAAAGAGGGGAAAAACAACTCTTTCCTAATACTCCTGCCTGCTACTTCTCCCTCGCTGGGCTAATATTACTATGTCCTAATGGAGACCAAAGATTGTTATAAGGTTTTAAATGAGAACTATAAAGCAGTCCCTTAAATAACTGCGTTTCCAAGCATTTTTCCCACAGACTTTTTAAATGCAGAGATTCTTAAGACTTTGTAAACAAAATATTACTTAAGCATATTTTTTCAGACATGTGAAATCATTAGTCAACTGGCTTAAACAGATACTTAAACATCCAGTGCAATATGCCTTATGCCTGTTTTCCAATTTAAGTTCTTAGCTCTTTGGAAGAAGAAGCAAGTTTTCAGTCAGAACAAGTATATTAGCATTAGTTTTTATAGGTAAATCATAGATACCTTAAACTAAGTATTTGACTCAACTTTGAAATTAATGGGGCATTATCTAAATGTATTAATTAATTCATTTATTTAAATAACAATATGGACACCTAATTTTAAGACTAACATTTTCTGAATGTGTTATTACTTTTACAATCACACCTAAGTAGAAATTTGAAACCTGGGGAAGATAAATTAATAATTACTATTATTGCTTCCAGAGCTGCATGCTGTGCTGTAGACGACTAAATGATATACTAAACTAACATAAATTTGCCAATGAAATGTCTCAGCATTTGGCAACAGAGGTAACAGAATGAAAGGCTGCATTATATCTCCTGCGTGAAAAAGCTTGTGATCAGTTTGCTGTCACAGATCATTTAGCACACAACAATGACTCAAGAGGAAGGAAACTGTCAACACACTGTCTCGTGAAAAAAATACACCATCTTCAGGCACAATCGTCTCCATTGTTTTTTGTCTGTTTGACCACGACCCATGACCCCTTTCCCTTCCCAAGAGTGTCCTGTTCAATTTCAAACTGTTAGCCTTCAGGGGCTTTCTGATTTTTCCTTCATAATAATTAAAAATATTACCCTAAAAGGTATAACTTTAGTGTGGTTTGAATATACAAAGCAAAATGTCTTATACATTTGGGAGTATTTGCATTTTCAATACTCTAAAGGAAACAGTCCCTTAAAAAAGAGAACAGTAACTATATTTTACTATTATTCAGATAAACTAAGCTTATGGGGATATATACAGCATAAAAATACATGTGCCTATAGTTGCAACCAATAATGGGAATTTACTGAGCATTATTATTGACATTATGAATACAAAAAAATAGAAGACATTATTTTATTAATATTTTTAATATATATTTATTGCACTTTAGATTCTGGGATACATGTGCAGAACATACAGGATTGTTGCATAGGTACATACATGGCAATGTGGTTTGCTGCCTCCATCCCCATCACCTATATCTGGCATTTCTTCCCAGGTTATCCATCCCCAACTCCCTACCCCCGACTGTCTCTGTCCCTCCCCTAGGCCCCAACAACAAACCCTAGTGTGTGATGCTCCTCTCCTTGTGTCCATGTGTTCTCATTGTTTAACACCCATCTATGAGTGAGAACATGTGGTGTTTGATTTTCTGTTTTTGTGTCAGTTTGCTGAGATTGATGGTTTCCAGATTCATCCACAAACTCATCATTTTTTATGGCTACATAGTATTCTGTGGTGTATATGTGCCATATTTTCTCTGCCCAATCTATCATTGATGGGCATTTGGGTTGGTTCCAGGTCTTTGCTATTGTAAACAGTGCCAGAATGAACATACATGTGCATGTATCTTTATAACAGAATGATTTATAATCCTTTTGATATTTACCCAGTAATGGGATTCCTGGGTTAAATGGAATTTCTATTTGTAGGTCCTTGAAGAATCACCACACCAGAAGACATAATTTTAAACTGAACATTAGAATTTGTTATCCTGTTGGAAAAATAAGATACATACCTAGACTAGTGAATTGAACTGCTTTATATATTAACACAATAAAGTGTTACATGGTTTAACAGAGACATTTGGAGAATATAATTACAGTTACTTCTCTGCTCTGGCAGTGGCAATAAGCAAAGAAGGCAGAGGAGGGAGATGTAACTTTTTAAGTCATCAGGAAAAGAGTCATTTGGGATACAGGTCTGGAAAAAAATAAGGGGGCACTCTAGGCCAAGGGAAGAGTATTAGTAATTGTTCCGATGGGAGAGCACATGGCATGTGGATATGTATGTACAGAGGGTTGGGGGAAGAAATAATAGTAATAGGACAATTGACTAGAATGGAGAGTTCAAATTCAGAGGAGTTGAAATTGATAAAATAAGTGAAACTGGGTCTGGACATAGAGCTAACGATCCTAATACCCAGATACATAGAGACTTAGACTCAATGAGACAGAAAATTAATAAGGATATCAAGGACTTGAACTCAGATCCGGAACAAGTAAATTTAATAAATATTTATAGACCTCTCCACTTTAAATACATAAAATATACATTCTTGTCAATACCACATCACACCTACTCATAGGTTTAAATGAAACATTGATAGGCCATTATTAATACCTATCTTTTTTAGAATAAAGCATTTCTGTTCTCTCTCCCTCTTTTTCTTCCTCTTTCTTCCTCTCCTTCACTCCTTTTTTTTTCTTTCCTTCTCTCAAAAAAAAATATGTGAAACTGGCTGTGCAGGGTCCCCAAATTTAGGCGGAGAACAGGTCAGAGTCGATTCAGTAATCTTGATTTGTTGGGTAACAGCCATCAGTAGTTCTTGAATAAGGCAAGTAAATTATGAAATCCATGTTGGAGCAAGACTTTTTCTTGAAAGTAATAAGCAGGGTGGAATATAGAAGAGAGATTAAATGCAAGGAAACAAACAGTAATTCAAGAATGAGCCACTGAGAGCTAATAGCAGAGTGGCAGCAAAGGTTATTAAAGGGAGATGAGTCTGAAGCAATGCTAAAAAATTGACCAGACTGGTTGGTTGCCTGACAGGGTGTGAAAAGTGAAGGAATATTACAGTCAAATATTCTTCCAAAGCCCAGAAGTGTGCTTAGTTTTTCTGTTAATAGAAAGCATCAAGAGAAACTGAAGTAAAATGTGAGTTTAATTTTAGACATAGATTTCAGGTGATGACAGTACAGATAAGTCAAAACGATCTTGAGGAGTGTGATTAAGACACTGAGATTAGAAATAAGAGATTCGGGTTAAATCAACAAAATTAATGATAGATGAAGCCACTAGAGAAAACAGCCTCCAAAAAGGTAAGTATTTCGAAAAGAAAGAGCAGAAACCAACTTATAATTAAGAGGAGCCAGTGAAGGAAAGAGAAAGGTTCATTAAGTGAAGAAGAAAATCATGGCTATTTCATGGAAGCAACATCCCAACAATAACCAAAGTCTAACAATTAAACCCGTAAATATCTCTGGTTGGACCCTTTATTTCCGTAATGACCTAGTTGGGTATTACCATGGATAAGAGCGCAGGGTCTGAAATCAGCTGGCCCGGGTTAAAACCCACTGGCGCTTCTACTTGTTAGCTGTGTGGCTCTGGAGCAAGTTACTTAACCTTACCAGGTCTGTTTCTATAAAATCAGGAGATAAAACTTTCTCAAGTAGTTGTTTGAGCATTCAATGAAATCATGCACGAAAACAGCCAAGTTTAACACCTCGTAAGTATTTAGTGTCAGCTGGTCTCCATTGCCTTGGTAAGTACTTCATCATTTCTCTCCTATTAACTCTAAACAGCTTCCTTATAGTTTTTCTTCCCCTAACTGTCCCTATTCTAGGTTATCATACCTCTGCTTGAGAACCATATTTGGTACTGAGGTGGGTGGATTATCTGAGGTCAGGAGTTCGAGACCAACCTGGCCAACATGGTGAAACCCCGTCTCTACTAAAAATATAAAAATTAGCTGGTCATGCTGGCGTGTGCCTGTGATCCTAGCTACTTAGGAGGCTGAGGCAGGAGACTTGCTTGAACCGGGAGGCAGAAGTTGCAGTGAGCTGAGATTGCGCCACTGCACTCCAGCCTGGGTGACAGAGCAAGATTCTGTCTTAAAAAAAAAAAAAGAAAGAAAGAAAAAGAAAACCACATTTGGTTATATAATTCTATACAGAGACATCTAAATACTTTCAAATAGAACTTGAGGCTCTTCACCATCTGGCCTTTTCCATCCTTTTCTTCTGTTATCCATCCCCACATCCTGAGGCTCCATCACACAGAATTTCTTACTAATCTGAGCATACCATGGGATTACACTCCTCTTCCTGTGAAAGCTGTTCTAGACACTCTTATCTCCTCTGTGCCTGTCAAACTCTTACTCATCAAAGTTTGGATCCAGTAAAAATATTTTGCATATGAAGGTTGTCGTAGTGGACATTGTAGTTGCCTCCTCAACAGCTCTTGCATTCTTCCCCCATTCTGTAGATACCATACTTTCTGATGGGACTGACCCCACCGCTGGCTCTAAATCAGCCTGATGGGTTCAGGGCTGTCTGACCATGATGCCTAATTCAGGAACAGGAACTTGATCTAAAAAGATCCAATTAGAGCAAAGTTATAGTCGTTTTCTTG